TGCTAAAAAATGTTTTGTTATTCTAATGCTTTTTAATTTTAATTATTTTTATAAGATATCTTTTCGAGAGAACAAAACCAGAAGTCATGTGATGAAATTTCACAGAACAACGTTCGTCAAAAAAATGCCAAGAAAAATTTTAAAAATTCTCGATCATATGTGAGTTATACATCGGTATTAATACAATAAATAAATTCACAAAATACACATGCAAAAGTAAACACGATTATGTATGCGAAATCAGCCACCAGGACCAGCTTTATTGATATGAAAAAAAAATTATGGGTCATATGTTACTTCGTAAAAATTTGAGCAAGACTATGTAGATTTACGATTATTCCATTCTATATATTATAATAAATTTTAGAATAAGCATTGCAGATAATATGTTTCACGTTTTTCTTTAAAAAATCATACCCATAATGTCATTAGTGTATAGACAAATTCTTCTACCTCTTCAACTGATTCATCACGGAATGGAATTTTCACTGAAGCGACAAGAAGATAATATTTTACACCCTTCTCATAAAGTAAACCATGAAGTACTAAACGATCACCTATATATTATAAGGTATAAGTAACCTGATTTGTATCCTACTGTTATAAATATCACAACTCACCTGCAATATTTATACCGAATGAGATATAGATTTTTTGCAACTGATCTTTTATAGTTTTTTTTGATATCTCTTTGTAACCATATAAACAAAGTCTTGCCAACTTATTATGATCATAGTGAATTTTTTCATCATCAGATTTCCATTTCCCACTCTCAATATATACCAGTTCATTATATTTCTGCCTAAAAAATGCTCGTACCATTAGATCAGGCTTCTCACCTCTTGAACCGATATTTTCTTGGGCTTTGTAATTTTTGCTAGCAATACTCTGTTTTTCGCTTCTTGTCACCTCCACATCATATTCAATTGGTAGCCGGTACAACGTTGCCTCAATTAAATGAAATACAGCTTCCACAAGAGTGCCTTCTGACCCTTCTGTAACTTTACGAAGTATGTTCATTTTTATCTTTTGCAAAAGAATATCTGCAATACCTCTTACAACTTGCTCTCTATCGTGCTCTTGCTCAACCCATTGATTATGAGATACTACTTCAGAGGGCATCACTATGAACCTATAGAGTTGGCGGATTTTATCTCTATTTGCAGTAAATTCGCTACATACCCTTCTTATTGAAGCATCTCTACTTAGTCTTTTTATAGAGACCTTTTCTCCAACAAGAAAACTTTGATGTTCCTCGGTTAATTAGAAGTGTTTAGACTCCAGATCAATTACACCATTAACCAATGGGTCATCATGCAACAAATTGCTAACATCTACTTCACCTATTTTCTTATGAAGTTGTTCATGCGCTTGGGATGCATCTTTTTGATTTTTTATAACATCCTTTAAACTGCTTATATTTCGTACAGCTCTAGATTTCCAATCAAATTTACAAGATTTAGACCTGTAAAATCTTTAAAGTGAGTTTATTAATTTACTTTTCAATCGATTAAGTATAATTAACTTACTGAAATAAGTCAGTATCTAACATCAGCGCTTTAAGCTCCTTTCATACGAATTGTATCTGAAGAATCAAAAAATACAATTAGTTATAATCTGTACAAAAAATAATTGAATTTGCTAACTTATACAGTTCAGATTTACTAATCAGAAAATGCCAGCTCTATAGTATCATTGTTAACAGTGCAATGGGGCAGATTATCACTGGTGTCTCATCGCTTCGAATGCGAAAAACCACTTACTCAACGTCACTACACTATTATTTTCTGATACTACAATATCATCATTTAAAAGTGATCATCATATCTATATAAAGAAATAAAGCACATATCCAAATATAATACCTTATTTATATCCTGTAATGATTCAAGATGGTGTTTACGCTCTTCATCATTACTTTTCGCTGTAGCATCTTCTAAAACCTTTATGAGACACTCTCGGTCTATTTCCTCTGTTTGCATCCCATAATCGCTCCATAACTTATGTAATAACCTAGAGATAGTAATTTGGTCGAGTGGTTCGTCTTTAAGGAAGATTTGTAAGGAGTTCATTTTTCTTAAGTAAGCTTATGTAAAAAGACAATTGTTATAGTTTGAAAAAAATCACTGTAAAGCGAGAAATAACCATAATTTTGTTATATTGCCCTTTATAAATGGTTTCACTCATCTTTGAATTCTGGTACAAATGACAAGAGAATAGCAGAAAAAGGACCTATATGCGCTCTATGCCATTTTTTACATTCTACATTACACTACGTTGGTCATAGGGTGACCCTTAGGCATGTGGAATGCATGTTGGAGATCTCAAGATCTTCAGCATTATGGCGTAGAGAAAGATCACTATGTATTATACTTCGCCTCACCACCAAGTAGAGCCTTTAGTATAAACCAAAACTATAAAAAGAAGTACGTGTATGTTTTGTTAGAAGAAGAAATAAATTTTTGTACCGGCTTTGGAGTAGATCTAAAGCTTGGGTATTATTTTTTCTATGAACGTAAATAAAATTCAAAAAAAATTCATATAAAGATTTGGTTGCACAGATAACATATATGTCATGAGATTGTTGGCTAAATTTGGGTTAGGGTACTATTTCGAGAAAAACTCGTTCCACATGAGTTATGCATAATGTTAAGCCTTGTAAGGTATTATAGTATAGATAAATTTATATGTATGTGAAATTTATTCTATCACGTTATCGCATTCACACCGCTTATATATTCTATTCGCTACTTTTTTGCATGTTTTGCAATATAGGTGAGAATGGTGATTGCATTCGTCACAAACTTTACATCCATGCTTCCATCCTCTAAAGATATGCCACTTTTCGATATAATTTTGTTTATCTTTACGTATGAGTATGTTATTCGGATATTTTTTCATTGTTATACATTAACAAAAAAAATATAACGTGGTCAATAATATGTGGCAATTGCGCCCTCACCCACAAATAAATTCAGAACATATCGATATGTGGCATGAGTTAATTGACTGACTTTGGTTTAAATACTAATTCCAGAAAAATGAAAAATAGCAATTTCTATTTGTGATCCATCTCACAAATAAGTTATGCATAATAATAAGCCTTGCAAGGTAATACAGATAAATTTTATACGTATGCGAAATAATTCTAACAAACACATGTCACTAAGCCCGATGTGGGCAGGTTTAAATATTTATTCAATGATCAGTCCACTTTGTGCAGTAATGTGGTGCAGTGTTTATTTTTTCTAGTTGCCGAGGCAGGACACCATCTCACCAGGATGCAGTAATGTAGCGCAGTAATATGCCATTTCTCTGAAATACTTCTATGTTGATTCCACCCATAATAATTTTCTGGATTAAAGATTACTTCGTTCTAATTGGCTTATTTCTACAATGTTTTCGGCTAGAAGAGATAACCTTTTTCTTTGTATTATGGATGCGTTTCTTTCGGTTTTTTTAGATCAAGATCGTACCAGTCTGAACCTGTAGATTCTGAATCGAAACTGGATAAATTAGTCTCTATAGATAATTTCTTAAACATATCTATAAACTTTTCTAAATTTAGATCAGATTTATCGATTTTTGTTTCAGAATGGGATAAGTTATTTTTACTAGAGCTGGCTTTATTACTATTTTCTTCGATTAATGAGATACTCATACCATTGATTACAATTTTAGCATGGCAGACACAGGTTTTGGAAGAATATCCAAAGCTTATTTTTGCTTCACGCATCCATAACCATTCTTGTTCCAAAACCAAATCGAACGATGAATTTTTGCGAATTTGAAAGCCTATTACTTCGGTACCATCTAAACTTCGCCACTTTCCTTTATAGCAAAATTGCAAATCTAAACATTTTATTTCACCTATTACATCTCCATAGAGATTCTCAACAAGATCACGTATTCCATAATCTTCTTTAAGCTTATCGAAAAAGCTCTTGCTAATGGTATTAAACTTTGACGATATATTAATTAATGCTTTTACTGGATTTTCCCCTCTACGAGTGTATTTACGAACATATTAAGTATATTTAATAATGTATATTACCTCGAAAAAATAATTCAGTGAATAATTACCTATTCTTCAGTAATAAATATAATTATTTATAACTCGCGTTAGAGGATTCTCTCTGAGATAATTAACAATTGCAGAAATAAGATCTGTTTTATCTAATATATGACTCAAATAGTAGTCTCTAAAGGACCTGGTTATAGCTATCCCATTTTGTCTACCGGTAAAGATTGGAATAAGTGAAGATAAATCAGAATCGGAGAATTCATCATCAGAATAATCTGGATGTTCGATTTTAATTTTTGGATTGAGTTTTTTCAGCACTTCATTACTAATCCTTCTACACCCCTTCAAACTAAGATATTTCAAATTAGTACAGTTGCTGGCTATCTTCTCGATAGCTTCATTACCAATCAAGCAATCACCAAGCTCAAGATGTCTAAGTTTTGAGCATGAGCGAGTAATTTCAGTAATACATCAATTAGTGAGACATATACATGAATTAAGATTCAGATGCTGTAGTTTTGGAGAAAATCTCGCAATTTCTATAATTGGTATATTAGTGAAACCCTTACTTTTATCAAGAATAAGAAAGCGTATATCTGGACATGAGCGTAGAATCGCACTAATCAATGTATCTGAGATTTTTAAACCTTCCAATCTGAGATATACCATCTTGGCGCAATAGGTTGGCTTTATTTTTCTACGCATAACTCTTTCAAAGTTTATCAATTGCCGAATAAGAACCCAAGACATGTTTAGGGCACGCCGGCTTTGCTAATAATCTTTGTTGAAAAACTCAATGCATTGCCATAGAATAGGAGCACCGCAGTGATACCAAAGATGGTTAACAAATAAAGTGGGATAGAGGGATTGATGGATTTCTAGAAAATATAAGATCTGTTCTAGCAATTCTGGTAAATCAAAAATATTTAGTTGCACCATTCTCAAGAATGTATATTATATATCTTTAATCGAAAAAATAACTAATGTTTGAATAATTAGTTTAGGCGTATTTTTAAATTAGTATTAATAAATAATTTAACATTTACAATGGCTGAAGCTGATAGAACCGTATCTCATATTACTAAACAGGTATCAGGTAAAAAAATCTGGATCTCTCTTCACCGATTACTGAAAATAGTGAAACCCGAAATTCAGCAGAATATTATAAACTTGATAGCAAACTCTAATATTTCTCGAAAAAATCCTAATAATTAGGTGTCGCCAGCCTGGCACTGTATATAATTTTCAAGTTTATTGGCATTTTGATAATACCGATCTCGAGCATATTTCATAAATGGTCTATCAACTCGATAAAGCCATTTAATTACTGCATGCTAGATTATTTTAGCTGAATTTATTCGTTTTTTCCATAAACGATATATCTTCTGGATAATTAATGATGCATAATTTTTTTAATACAAAGTTACAAAATAGGCTACTTGAATTTTAAATTCTTTAAATTTAGAGTGATTAGCTATGGATTCATTTCTGGTTAGATTATTTTTAATACAGAATACAAAGTTTTCCCAATGGTCCTTACTAATAA